GTTTCACCATGTTGACCAGGATGGTCTCGATCTCTTGACCTCGTGATCCACCCGCCTCGGCCTCCCAGAGTGCTGGGATTACAGGCGTGAACCACCGTGCCCAGCCCTTTAAACGAATATATTTCATTATAAGTACATCTTAACTCAACAAAGTCAATTTTAAAATAACAATTGAATAGTCTTTCTTCCGATGATACTGTCCAAAGGCACAGAGAGGCCATGCAGGATCATCAGTGCTGTACTAGGGTTAGCTGGCTCTTAACCACTGATCAATAAATATTCAGGAATTTTCCAAGCTGGCAGTTGGAAACTGACCACGATGGGAATATTTACACAAAGGAATTGGGCTTTTAAAAATATGTTTCCCAGAAAACTGTTTTACACCAGTACACCGCTACACCACTGAGCAAAGAGGTTAAAAGTACAATTCAGATAAGAAATATTAAGTTTATGAATACTGATGAATGCTGAGTGTATAACAGAATATATTGTTTGCTAGGAAGAACAATGACAAGGAAAACCTAGCTGCTGCCACCCTCCCCCAACCCATAAATAGAAAACTACTTGGGGTATTCCAAAACAGCAGGACAATGTATAAATATCATACACTGGTTGAAACAATTCTTTGAGATAGCTGACCCTGCCCCCGTGGCTCCCTCGTGGAGAACACCTTTTAGCTTGTTTGTAATCAGTGTTAAGCGGGCAACAGCTGCCTACTTGGTAGATGTTTGTGTTATCAGAAAACACAGAGCACCTGTTTATTAATAGTAATCACCTGCTCAGAGAGAAGAACTACATGGATCAGAATTTGCTCGGGGCCTTTAGCCCGGAATGCTGTCAGCCCCTGAGGCTCTGAGCTCGGAAGGCTGCTGGCCCCTCCGATAGACCCACTTTGCTGTTCTATCTGGGTGCCCACCCTTCGTTTCCTTCAGCACCACCTGGGTGGGGGTCTCTCCCGCTGAGCTGGTACTCGGTATTCACAGGCCTGAGTTTGGGTCCCAGCTCTGCCACTTTCTAATGGTTTTATTTGCCCCTGTGTTCTTTAGTTCTCTGCTCCCTAAAATCAAGGCAAAATAAATATCTACTTCACACCATAATTAGGAGAATTCTGTGGATCAATTCACACTTGGCATATAGTAAGCACTAAATATTACCTGCTATTATTGTGCAAAGAAAAAACAAAGTCTCTCTACAACTAAAGAAATTAACTGGTTTACATATTTCCCCCGGACGTATTTACTCTTTTTCTTCCCTTCATGCACAATCCCAAACTATTCCAGTTTTGAAAAGAAAATGTGCACTTTTCTCACCCAACATATGGGGGGGGGGATAATATTTCTCTTCCCTCTAACACAAGTTGTGAACATCAAATAAGCCAATATCTGTGAAGGAGCTTAACAAGTCATAAAGCACTTTGGAACTATAAGATTTGCTTTTTTAGAGACGGGGTCGCGCTCCGTCACCCAGGCTGGAGTGCAGTGGTGCAATAATAGTTCACTGCAGCCTCAAACTCCTGGGCTCAAGTGATTCTCCCACCTCAGACTCCTGCCATTTTGGTCAAATGTCAGATGCCTGATGACAGGTGCAAACCATAGTGCCTGTGTAAACTGCTGATATTAATGTACATGCTCAAATTGAGGGGGAGGGTTCTACAACTCAATACAGAACATATAAAATAAACTTTAAAAAACTTTACCACTTGGGAATTGTCATTCACAATTTTAGGGTTTATTTCTCAAATTAGCATAATATATCAGAATTATAAATGAATGCAATGCTTTACACACATGCAATAAATTGTTTGCAAAACTCAAAATAGATATTTTAACTTCATAGACTGTAAAAACATGAGCATCAAGCTTTCCAGGAAAAAAAATTCTGCATACCACTCTTCTTTAGAATTAAATTCATCGCAAATTTTACTTGCTAAAAGATGTCATTGTTGTTTCACTATGTATATATTCTTAATGAAATGCAACTTTTTCTTCAAAATCTTGGAACAAATACACAAGTTAGAAGCAGACCTCTGAATAAACCACCCTGACAAAACAGTCCACAGACAGCAGTGGGATCTAATCAAAGCTATTTAGATGGTATTTCAGGCTTTCTCAGTGAGTCATCATCTTACTCAGAACAAGTTACTTAACTTGAGATGACTCACCTTGTGCAAAAAGACAACAATAAGATCACATATCATCACATTAGCCTGGCATTTTGAAATCCTTAAAGCACCGTAAACACAGGTCGCTATGACCTTAGTTGGTCAGAATATGGTCATTTTAGTTACTGACTTGCACTTACTGATCTCCTGAAGTTATATATACACTACCAAGTTTCTGCTAAGTGTACTCATTTTGAAATATTTCATTCATTTGCAAACAACATGGGATTTTAAAGAAATCACGTCGGGCTGCAATTTCACATTTCAAATAAACAGAGCAACACGTATACTTTTTTGACATGCTGAAGTGTAATTTTTATTTTTTTTAACAACATTCGGTTGGCACATTGAGGTATACCAGTGGGGCATCACATATGCATTTATTTGTGTATTCATTCTGTAACTATAATAGGTTCATTGCCTGGATGTTCACAGCAAGTCAATACCCAGAGGCACCAGGTTGCAACAGAGACAGAGGTTTAGTGGTAAGTCCACCAAACAAGGAGAAAAGGGGAAACCTCTCAAATCCGTCTTCCTGGGGACTCTGGGGCTAGGGTTTTTAAGAGTTTTGGAGTGAGCCAAAGCGCAGAGATTGCTGATTAGTTGAAGAGTACAGGGTGAAGTCCCCGTACGGGGAGAGGAAGAAACTGTACTCTTGTGCTCATCTGGTTTGTCTGTGGGAGTCTTTAAATTGGTTGGCCTTAGCACTTCCACTGTTATTCAGGATCTGCCTAAGCAATTCTTAAACAAAAGCCTCATGATTCTAACATTAGAAATCCTATCCACAGGAACAATGGGGATGCAAATGGTCAGTATCTAAGGTTATGTGATTTTTAGGTTACAAGGCATGGTCAAAGTGCAGCCTGATTAAAGCTTAATTGTAACTACATTTCTGTTCAGAATTCTCAATTCTGTGAGGAGGGCTTCAATTCCTTCAACAAACATTTACTTAGCACCAACTATATGTAAGTCTCTACAGAGTCTACTGAAAATAACCTCAGTTTTTATGAATGAAAGGCAAATACATGATAAAGTTGCATATCGTTTTTACATTGTATATTACATTTTATACATGGGATAAAAGTACCTCCCAAGGTGCTTTATGGTGTTTTCACTGGATGCCCATTTTAAACAGCCTTACAATTCTGGATGATCACTTTAATGTTCCCTAGCTTATCTACTACGTGACTATATGTGACTGAGTAGGCTGATAAATAACAACATATTTTATCATTAAAAAATACAAATATATATAATCGGCATCCAAGAAAGAGAGATAATCCTGGAACAAAAACTGCAGAATTAGATCCAGGCTAATCAGAATCTCGCAGTGGTGTTACAGGAAAGCAAAACAGTGAAGTCCATTTCTCAGTGTCATTACTCAGAGGCTGGGGGTAAGAAAAAGTCCTGCTGGGGATGTGAAGTTAGGAGAGTTTCACTCAGTTCCCCTCTGTGAGTCTGGAAGGTGTTTTTACAGCTTGCAGAGCTGAAGGAGCTAGAACTGGATGCTGGCCAGCGGGAAGATGAGAACTGCTCAAGGGAAAGGAAGGTCTCAGTAGGGAGGAGAACCTGATGAAAGTTTTAGTCAGCATTATCATGATTATCTGTCACCTGCAGGGTACACAGGGAACAGTTGCATGACAGAGGAGATAATTTCTGAGGAGTTAAAGGACAATATAATATTAAAACACCGAAGACACAAAGCTGAAGTAGCAGGTTACACAATTATTTGTCAATTTGTCCAGAGGGAGACATTTTAGCTGCACTTTCCAAAGCATTGGCACTCTGAAAACTTAATCAGATAAAACTACATTCCCAACATGTATAATATGTATCATAAAACACTTGCTATACGCATATATCCAAATATCTTATATCTTTATGATAATTTATCTGTGAACTAAAAATCTATTTAGGATCATTATGGGTCATTTAACTTGTTTCATTATGTCAGAAAAAAAAGTCACCAAATAAGAAAGCATCATCATTATTATTATTATTTTGAGATGGAGTCTCACTTTGTCACCAGGCTGGAGTATAGTGGCACGATCTTGGTTCACTGCAACTTTCACCTCCTGGGTTCAAGCGATTCTCCTGCCTCAGCCTCCTGAGTAGCTGGCACTACAAGCATGCACCACCATGCCCAGCTATTTTTTTTTTTTTTTTGGATTTTTAGTAGAGACGGGGTTTCACCACATTGGCCAGGATGGTCTCGATCTCCTGACCTCATGATCCACTCACCTAGGCCTCCCAAAGTGCTGGGATTACAGGCGTGAGCCCCCACACCTGGCCAAGAAAGCATTATTTTAACTTACTTTTACATTTTAGTCAAATTGAACTTTAACCAAACAATACAAGAAAAATGATTATTCTAACAACGTTGGTCTAAAAGCCATCAATTGTAGCTTTTTAACTAGGTCAAGCTCCATGATCTTGAATCCCTAGATGTATTTATTCATTCATTCAACATGTACCTAAGCATATCCTGGCCATAGCTGGCATTTTGCTTCCTCGTCCAAGCCACTATTCATCTCTCTCACCCTGCTGACCACACAGCTTCCACCTGCACCCACCTCCCTTCCACTCGCTCCACCACAGCTGGGGGGATCATTTGAAAAAAGCTGATCTAGTCACTCCATTGCTTAAAACACTTCAAAGGCTTCCCATTGTCCTTGAAATAAAGGCCAAAACTCAGCAAGGTATGGCCTGACCCCCTTCTTCCCCCTCTCAAGTTGTGTGCCTTCTCTCTCTCTTCACCAAACCTACTGGCCTTGTTTATTTTTTGATATATTTAAGGTGTACAGTATATGAAGTTTTGATATACATACACTGAGTGACAGCATTACTACAGTCAAGTAATTCTAACATGATGCTCCCTCCCACTCTGGCAGCTTCTCACAGACTTTCCCATTTTACCTAGAATGAGCCTCCTCCCCCATTTTGGCCAGGCTAACTCCTAGTCACCAGTCAGGTCCTAATTCAAATGCCCCCTCATTAACCAAATCAGGTTCTCCTATTCCACCCTCTCATAGAATACTGTAGTTATCCTTCACAGCTCTTAGCACAATTTGCAATTCTTCATTTATTTGTGTGAATATTGAAATAAATGTCTGTCTCTACCACTGTACTCTCCCTAAGGGCAGGGCCCATGTCTGTTTTGCCCTCCACTGTAGCCCTGGCATCCATCTAGTACAGTGCATAAAACAGTACATATAGCCTACTGAATAGGAGACAATCGATACCTGTTGACTATACGTGCACAGAATATGTACAAATGCAGCCGGACACAGTGGCTCACGCCTGTAACCCCAGCACTTTGGGAGGCTGAGGCGGGTGGATCACGAGGTCAGAAGATCAAGACCAGCCTGGCCAACATGGGGAAACCCCGTCTCTACTAAAATACAAAAAAAAATTAGCCGGGTGTGGTGGGGGGCAACTGTAATCCCAGCTACTCAGGAGGCTGAGGCAGAATAATCACTTGAAATGGGAAGGCGGAGGTTGCAATGAGTCGAGTTTGTGCCACTGCACTCCAGCCTGGGCAACGAGAGCAAAAAAACTCTGTTTCAAAAAAAAAAGGAAAGGAAAAAGAAAGAAATATGTACAAATGCTAGACGATTCATTCAATAAAAGCAGGAATAATGCCTGTATTACTGTGCTGGGATTAAGTGATCTGTCCACCTTGGTCTTACAATGTGCTGGGATTACACATAAGCCACTGCACTGGGCCACCTCTATTACTCTCTAGGTACCATCGAAAGCACTCGATAAACATTTGTTGCACAAACACTGAATGGTGGCAATATATTTCTTCTATCATTTTCTTGAAATATTCATCGGATTTTTATCTATTGATTTCTTAACTCCAAATTTTCCAACACTTATCTTTGGAAAGACTGAACGAACGAGCTCTACCTTGTCAAGGCACAGCAGCTGAGCAGTGGCCACCACAAAGGAGGCAGAGGATGCGTTACATAGATTCCATTTGAATCTATTTGTTTTGGTTACTCTATTTCAAATATGCTTGCATCACATGAAATGGAATTCCACTTACTTCCTTCCCCCTAAATCTTAATAAAGGAATTAGGCTAGCTGTTTGGGACTAAAAAATCCATCAAGAAGTTGTTCGCATTTTACTGAGATATTTGTTGAATTCAATTAATATTTCCAGAAAAACCTCAATATACCTGTCACTCTACAGGGACATAACATTTTCTTATCTAATATGTACAATCTTTAACTTGACAATTTCACAAGGCATACTGATATAAATCATATTGCTCAATATCTGGTGACTCAGTAGAAAGTGATCTTCAGTTTCAACAAGCAGTCTTTGAATTTATGATGCTTTTCCTTAAGGAAATTAACCTGAGGACTTTTTCCCATACGTCCAAAGAATACTAGAAGTTGTTTTCAAAACATAGAGTAACTTGGTTTCTATGTAGTATTTATAAGAAAAGAAAGTATCTGTATATATTCACTTAAAAGGCAACCTTGGAATCCTCTAATTCATCATTAAAGTGTGCTTTGTATGTAGGCAATCATCTAACTATAGATACAAAACTGACTTCTCTTAAAATGACTGATGGAACAATGGCTTTGCATGAAAATACTGAGTCAGAAAAAGTAATACTCTTGGCAGTCTAGATCAAAATAGAACTTGTTTCCCTAACTAGCAGAGGTGTTCTATCTAAAAAAAATACTTTTCTCTCTTCTTGGTGGTCTAGCGGTTAGGAATAAAAATTAAAAATAAATACAATACACTTTTCTCTCGATCAAACTAATATTGACTGGGCACTATGGAAGCAAATGGGAGCAGACTAGTCAGGTATGAAAATAACCTTACCTTGCTTCAGGTATACTGTGACCTGCCATAAAAGTTTGGAAGAAGGAGAGAATATAAAGGGGCTAGGGTATGAGGACCAGTCTTACAGCAGAAAGGCATCTGAGCAGAGCCTTGAGAAGTACATAACATTTCAATATATGGTATTAAATGGGAGAGGATCGGCAAGAATAGGACCAAAGAGCATACCCTCTGGAGTGCCTTCCCAGAAGACGAGCACTCATTTCATCAGCTAAGAACCCTCAGTTCCTTGACCCAGGTAGTCTGCACTTCCTTTTTAGAAGACAAATTTGTATATCTCATTCCTCCTCAAAGGCTGGGCCTTGTATTATTGTCCATCCAGAAATAAGTCCCTAGTACTTAACACAGCATCTGGCAGAAGCTGAGCATGCCAAATAGATGTAGGTTGAAATGATGTTTAGAAACATAACGTTAGGTTTACACATTGTTAACACACGATCGAAAAATTCAGGTAAATGGATTGGCTAAAATCCAATGAAAACTATTAATTAAACCTGTCATTTGGTACAACTTAAAAGCCTATGTGGATTGAATTTTTCATTTTGGATCCAATTATGCTGTCACATAGGTACAACTCTACTATATGAGTCACCCAAAGTTCTATTAATCAAATCTGGAATAACAATATAATAATGTGTTTTAATCATTCTAATACAGCAAATGAGACACTGGGAAACAAAACCAACACTATTGTAAAGTGCCCACCGATCACTCTTCACTGGGGACTGTGTCCTGCTCAGCAGTGGGATAACAGCAACACCTAAGAGTTGAACAACACAGAAGAAAAACTGTGAACTGTCAGGGAAAGTCAGCTTAAAGGGAAATAAAAATCCAAGGTGTATTGCTAGATTTTGCAATAACTACATGTGGCAATACAGAAATGTGATTTTAATTGGAGGAGGAAGATAATTATAGCTTGCAAGCCAGCTAGCTAATCTAAGTGACAAACTTTGGCCCCACGCCCATGAAAAGAGGGTGAACCCAAAACGGGAGTTTATCAAGTTTCCATTACAAATGTGTTCAAGACACCTGAGCCACCCTGAAACCAAACCCCGAAACCAAGGCGTGGGGGCGGGGGGTTATATGTTGCTAATAATTAAATTTAAATAATTTCTGTAAATTTAAATATGAAAACAACAAATTCTGTGTTATATCTTCGGAATTAGCATTGTGCTGGTGATCAAATGCAATGGTATAAAACAGAGTTAGCAGGTGTTCCTGAAAAAATATTCCTTGAGCTAATACTAGAAACAGAAAAAGGGGTCAGGTTAATCCTATGGATTTAGAAGTGATCCAAGTAAAGGCAACTTACATGATAATGGAAGTGAAAACCACGTCATCTAAGGAACAGTTGAATGAACTGATGATCCATAACCTGGAAAATGAAAGACGTGAAAAGGCAGAGTAATCTTGTCAAATACCTAAAAGATTCCCCATCAGCAAAGCGATATTTTGTGTGGCAGATTTCAGTTAAATAGAAAGATAAACTTTTTTTAAATAATTAGAGCACTTAAAAGGTAGGTGGAGTGGTGGCAGGCGCAGTGGCTTACACCTGTATTCCCAGCACTTTGGGAGGCCAAGGCAGGTGGATGACGAGGTTAGGAGATCAAGATGCTCCTGGCCAACATGGTGAAACCCCATCTCTACAAAATACAAAAAATTAGCCAGGCATGGTGGTGCATGCCTGTAGTCTCAACTACTTGGGAGGCTGAAGCAGAATCGCCTCAACCTGGGAGATAGAGTTTGCAGTGAGCTGAGATTGAGCCAATGCACTTCACCCTGGGCGACAGAGAGAGATTCTATCTCAAAAAAAAGAAAAAGGAAAAAAAGGTAGGTAGGGTGCTTTGTGAGACAATGAGTTTCTTGTCACTATTAAATATTCCAGTAGAGGCTGGAGACATCTGAGAAGGGGTTCTGTTTGGTGTTTAATATTTAACAAGAGAAGCAAGAAAGGACAGACATCTGTGAGTACCCACTATGAGAAGACACTTTGTATGTGTTATCTAAATTGGTAGACTCAAATTTATGAATTGAATATTATTTCTCACATGAAGATTAAAAGAGATTAAGTAATTTACCATGCACCCTGTAATAGAAAATGCTAGAAAAGTGAAGCCTGGGCCGGGCGCGGTGGCTCAAGCCTGTAATCCCAGCACTTTGGGAGGCCGAGGCGGGTGGATCACGAGGTCAAGAGATCGAGACCATCCTGGTCAACATGGTGAAACCCCGTCTCTAC